TTTGCACTCTCTAGCACAACAAAGTTTCATTCACCGGGATTTGAAGCCTTCCAACATACTCCTCGGGGGTGACATGAGGGCAAAGGTTGCAGATTTTGGTCTTGTTAAGAATGCACCTGAGGGAAAGTACTCTGTGGAGACAAGATTGGCAGGAACATTTGGATATCTTGCTCCTGAATATGCTGGTAAGTTAATCCTGGTCTGGAAAATCTTTAAAATTTTATACAATCTGCGTATAGTTCTATATTTTCTATATCAAGATGCCCTTGGCAAATCAAACCTTTCAAAGTAATTTAGGTGCATCTTTAATGTCTCAATGTAGTTATAGGTGTTCCAATTCCCTGAGTACCTAAGCTGTTAGCAGTTAATGTGGTTGCGGCTCTTCATTGTATTATCTGCTTTAGACATGTCAAAATTGTGCTAACAAATGGTTTTTTAGACTTACTTTTCTTAACATCCTACTTTGTTCTATAGGGAGGGAAAAAAGTGGCAAACTTGGGCTCAAGGTTTTCCACAACTTGCTTTATAAGTTATGAGGCCCCAAAGAATATTCATTCTTGTGAGAAAGATTAAAATCATAGTTGACTGAAAGATAGTCTTCTTATTAGCATTCAGAATATTTGACATTTATAGAAGCATCTTTTAGTAGGCATGGTATGCAAATGTTTTTATTGGTTGTTAAATTGTGTTCTTTGGGTTTATTTAACCAGTCTTTTTGGTAAAACGGATAAACATTTTCTTTTGTCTTCTCCTTTTGCCCAGTTGTTCTCTTCAAAACATTGTCATATCCATAAATTTGTTCAGCAATTTAATTTACTAGGCCTCAGCCTTCTAGCCAACTGATGTTGAATGTGAATCATCCTTCTATAATTTGATGAATTTTGCTAACTGGAACAGCTATAAGTCTCTGCCTGATAAAATAGGTCAATTTTACACACAAGATATGCATTATATGCCCTTTTATTGTTTGGTTGAATGTTAAATTTCTAAAGACATAGACTTTTTCTTTCCTTTTTTATTCAATCTTAACAGCAACTGGAAGGGTGACTAGAAAGGTGGATGTCTATGCATTTGGAGTGGTCTTGATGGAGATAATCACTGGCAGAAAAGCTTTAGATGAAACCCTACCTGATGAGGAGTCACATTTGGTCACATGGGTCCGCAGGCTCCTAATCAACAAAGACAACATTCCTAAAGTGGTTGATGAAGCAATCAACTGTGATGAGGAGACAATGGCAAGCATCTTCAAAGTAGCTGAGCTGGCTGGGCACTGCACAACTCGTGAGCCATATCAGAGACCCGAAATGGGGCATGCAGTCAATGTGCTGGCCCCTCTTGTTGAGCAGTGGAAACCTACCAGCCAAGAGGATGATGAAAACTCAGGCATTGACCTTCATATGAGCCTTCCTCAGGCTCTACAAAAATGGCAAGCAGATGAACGTACTTCAACAATGTATGGTGATATATCATACTCCGAATCCCAGTCAAGCATTCCTGCAAAGCCCTCAGGATTTCCGGACACGTTCAGCTCAACCAATTGCCGGTGATGGAAATGCAATAACCAACATAATTTTTTGAAGAGGTATGTTCTGTAAAATTGTGACGAGAGCAAAAAAGCCATGTTGAGCTGCTGCAGCCCACTTGATAGCAAAGAGTATTATGGTTATGTCATGTTTATTAATTCAGATTGTTCTCTTATCTTTGTTATGCTAAACCTGAGCCAATAGAGCTGTTGTTGTTTCTCATTAAATTCTTCAAAAGCTAACCAATTCATTTCTTTTATTTGGTGGAGCATTTACACAGGAAAAAGGGTTTTGGGGGGGAGAGTTGGAGAAAAATTGTATCATATTCTTTAACTTTTTCCGTTGTAATGTATAATTATTGTTTTCAATTATGTTCAATGATGTTTGCTTGGTGCACAACTTACTTTTTTTTTCTTCCCCTCCTGTTCTTTGCTATAACTTCTTCTGTTCTTTATGTTTTAATTTAACTTAAAAAAAATTATAATGCAAATGCTTAATCTGTTTATATTTCATGCTTCAGCTTGTAAAGAGTTTGGTGGTCCTGAAAGCTTGAAACTCATCTCACATGGCTGCGTTACACAGTTGCTTTGAAAGTTGGGAACTTTCCATTGAAAGGATGGCTTTTGTTAGTGCTACTGCACATGTTGTGGGGCTTTTGTTTCCCTATAAAAATCTGAAAATCTAATCTAAATGTGGATGAACTAAATTAGAGGTTGATTTGATGCTTCAGATATGAAACAATGACCAGCTGACCAATTAAATTATGGTTTGGAATTATGAAAATGACACCACATTTTTTTTCCTTTTTTTTAATACTTATTTAGTTGGAAGAATATAAGCTGATCTGTTGATAACCTGATATGAATATGAGATTGTCTGTTTTTAAATCTGTCACAACTAGGTGCCCCCAAAGCACAATGTGGTGGTTGAAATTCAACCAGGATTTCTTTGAATTGACTGCTTGAATAAGATTATTCATTACGTAAATTTGGTTTAGGTTTATTTTTCATGGCAGCAACTGCAATTTTTAACACCTAATTCGTAATTGTCTTTTTGTTGAATAGTGCATAATTTTGATCTCATGGATTTGGTTTCACGAGACTTATTGTAAAATTTTGACCTAATTTAATTACAATCATAAAATTTTAATTTATAACAAATTAATAAATTTTATTTTAAATATTTCAATTGAATAAATCTAAGTGCAATTAAAATTTTATTTTCCTAATTAAATCGCCCGACAATTTCATGAGAATTCTCATAAAATCAAATTCATTAGATCGAGACTTGAACTTTACATAAAAATCTATCTTTGAATTTTTTTTTTTTTGGGAAATTATGATAGTGTTAATTAAGGTTGTGCCAAACCATGTTTGCCTTAGAATTGTTATGGAAATTGGTTTGCCTAAATATTTGCTTGATTACCAATATTTTAGCATTACTACTGAATACATATATCCCATAAAAAAATTTAATGCTTAATCTTTAATTGGACTGCCATAAAAGAAGAAAAGAAAAGAAAATAGAAACTCTTTCTTTTTCTTTTCTTTTTTTTAATTTTATATGAATAACACTCTTTCTAATACCATTTTAACTTCAAACAACAAAACTAGCAAAAATGGACAAAAAAAAAGTTCAATCAGTTTGTTTTTGGAGGTAGGCCAAATTTAAAAGTTCAAGTGTAAAATGGGTCAGAAAATTATTTATAATATATTTTCTTTCAGATTTTAAAAATGAAAAAAAAAATTGGGACAAAGCATTGGAAGAAATTAAGGTGATTATTAAATTCTTTATAATTTTTCTTTAATTACGTCAGGATGATAAACTCTTAATACAAATAAGAGGGGGAAGAGAGGTCTAGCTCGAAATCAAATCTTTGATGTTCCCTCAAACGACTTTAACTATTAAATCAAAGGTTTTGAGACATTATTTGTGATTTTATTTATATATTTGCTTCTCTTTGGTTTACTATATATACTTTTTTAATGTGTGAAATCTCATTGGTTTTAAGTTGTATCATGAAAGCTAACTATCTCTTTAATTCTAACTCATTTGTGTAAATCAAACCCGAAATTTTTTAATTAAAATTTCAAAATTAGAGATGATTTACAATAATGTAGTAGAATACTTAATAAATTATGTAAAAATATTTTTTATTTCAAAAAATAAAAACTTATAATTCTGGGTTATTTTGCATTGTTACTACTTTTGTGTTTTATGTTTTTTAAAATTTCTAATTTATATTATTTTTAAAATATTGTTGTTGCAAAAATTTGTCAACGGAGAATAATAAGAAAACTTTATAAGGCTTTCAAATTTTAAAATTCAAGGATTTGAATAAATTTCTTATCAAATTTTCTTGGATCTTTTGATTTTCAAAAAGTAAAATGGCCTGGTTAATAGTATATGTACGATAATAGTGATAAAAATATTGGGAGCATTGTAATTTTTTTTATTACAATACTACAATTAATTAATTATAACAAAAAATTATGTAAGAATCAACCACAAATTTTGAGCTTTATATAATTTTTATAAACTTACACAATATTAAATTTTCATTAATTAATTGTATAATAATAATTATAAGTGATATATTCTTGAAAATACTTAGACTACGATTAAATTGCAATAATAGTGCTGAAATTTTTTTCAAAATTTTAGAAACATCATTATTTTATTTTCAACAATATTTAAATTATTATTTTTATTTTTATTTTTATTTTTTGAACAAGGAGGTAGAAGACTTTATTTTAAAGCTAAGAATAAATTCCAAAGTTACTGATTAAGCCATCAAACTTTAGTGCATTTTTGGAAATTTGCAATGTAAAATGGATTTTAGTTTTCATTAAAGACAACTAAATATAAGAAATTGATGGTTATTTATTTTTTATACAAAATATATAAAAAAAAAAAAAAAACTCTTTTGTTTCATAAGTCTCATTCCATGTCAAGAATCATACAAGAAACTTTCATGATAAAATCTTAATCTCTAACCTAACAAAAGATAACCTTTTATGCTACACCTTCTTGGTTAATAAGCGTGGCATAACATTAAAGGAAATGGAGCATGTGTTATTATGTTAATCTCGTTTATAAAATTATAAAAATTTTATTAATAGTGTATCAAATAATTTTCTCAAAGTTTAAACTTTAAAAGATCACAATATTAGTTTTATCTATTTTAAATTTATACTTGAAATACTATCAATGTATATATGTTATATATTGTGAGTGAATCACATAATGATATCTTATAAAAAATTAATTTTTAAAATTTTAAAATCTTAAAAAATAAATGCACTTAATCCTAAAAATATATTTAAAAATTAATTTTTTATAAAGAATCATTATGTAATTTAGGTATAGTAGAGCATCTAAGAAGTGCTTCAAATATGTAAATGCTATCTATTTTCTCATCACTTACGTAAAACCTAGCTTGAAATGATTAAAAAAAAAACATATATTCAATCCAGGAGAGAAGAGGACCCCATTTACACTTTGACATCATAATCTTGAGCTTTTCCTTTTACAAATTGATAAACTATGATTAATTTATCATAGGTATATATCTGTGTTTCATGTCCTTTTTCTTGCTTGGAATAAAGAAAAGAACTTCACTTTGTTTTGAAGGCACTCGCAAAAATCATTGAACTAAACAATGCTTCTTGTATGTATGGAACAATCTAGCTACTTTCTACTTAATTCATCCATTCCTGGCTCTCTCTTCTCTTCAAAAGCACACAATCCTTTGGGGACAAACCATTCCATTACAATTGGAAAAGAGCTGATCAGTAATGGCGCTTCTTGCTGTCCTCTTGTCTTCTCTTCTTGTTGTCTCCTGTAAGGTTTCCATTACCAAATGTTCAATTTTTTTTTTTTTTTATGTTGATAGCAACAGTTTTATTAACACAGCTTTCTTTTGTGCTTTAACAGTGGCAGAAATCTCGAGCAAGATTGGAATAAACTATGGTCGAGAAGGGAATAATTTGCCATCTCCATATCAATCCATTGAGATCGTGAAATCCATGAATGCTGGCCGTATCAAGCTCTATGATTCTGACCCTGAAATATTGAAACTCCTCTCAGGAACCAATATCCATGTAGCCATTATGGTTCCTAACAATGATATAATCCAAATTGCTTCAAGCCAAACAGCAGCAGAACAATGGGTCCAAAACAACGTCCTGGAATACTACCCGGATACCATGATCCGATTCGTTTTAGTTGGCAATGAAGTCCTCAGCAGCAATTCGGAACAAGATCAGACAATTTGGCCTAACCTTGTTCCTGCAATGCGTAGAATTAAAAATTCTCTGAGTGCTCATGATATTAAGAATATTAAGGTCGGAACCCCTCTAGCAATGGACGTACTGCAGTCGACTTTCCCACCATCAAGTGGTATGTTCCGGTCTGATATTTCGGATACTGTGATGGCACCGTTGCTGAAATTCTTGAATGGGACCAAATCGTTTTTTTTCCTTGATGTTTACCCTTATTTTCCATGGTCTGCTAATCCAATGAACATCAGCTTAGATTTTGCTCTTTTTGGAGGGAATGTACTCCTAACTGACCCTGGCAGTGGCTTAGTTTACACAAATCTCCTAGACCAAATGCTTGACTCAGTCACTTTTGCCCTGGAAAAGCTTGGATACCCCAATATCCGACTAGCAATAGCTGAAACAGGCTGGCCCACTGCAGGGGATATTGATCAAGTCGGAGCAAATATCTACAATGCAGCCACTTATAACCAAAACCTCATTCGCAAAATGACTGCTAAACCACCATTAGGTACCCCAGCTAGACCTGGTTTAATCATACCAACATTTATTTTCTCCCTATACGAAGAAAACCAAAAGACAGGTCCCGCAACAGAAAGACATTGGGGCTTGCTGCATTCAAATGGAACACCTATTTATGACATTGATCTCACCGGAAAGCGGCCTGTCTCTGATTACAAGCCACTCCCTCCAGCTGAAAACAATGTGCCTTACAAGGGGAAGGTTTGGTGTGAGGTGGCTGCAGGGGTCAATATGAAGAACTTGTCATCAGCATTGTCCCATGCTTGTAACCAGGATAATCAGATTTGCGCAGCATTGAGTCCAGGGAAAGAGTGTTATGAGCCAATGTCAGTATTCTGGCATGCAAGTTATGCATTCAGCTCATACTGGGCAAAGTTTCGAAGCCAGGGGGCAACTTGCTACTTCAATGGATTAGCCAGAGAAACTACAGTAAACCCAAGTAAGTTTGCTTAATTGTCTCCTTTTTCATTTTTTCTGGTTCTGTTCATTTTGTTCTTGTTAATGAATATGCAATCGATTCTTTTGATCAGGTCGTGGACAGTGCAATTTCCCAAGTGTGACTCTCTGAAGATTATTTGAAGACATTAATATTAACGTCTAGGAATTGGTCTTATGTTTCTTCTGTTAGACTACTGTTATCTCATACTTTTGTAAGGGAAAAACAGTGTTTTCTAACATCTAATTAGAAGACAGGAGTTTCCTGTTATTGGAGTTTTTTACTACCTTTTCTTATCTCAACTCTTAGCTCAATGTTTAGTCTTCTAATCCGGATAATGGCTACTGATCCAAGTCTCTGCCCACATCAAGAATGAAAATTCTAATTGAGGCAACGTAAACTGAACTGCAATTCAATCAATTCTGTTGTTTTTTCAACACAGGCTCTTCCGTACAAAATGCCTATCACAAAAAAATTCTTGCGCAGAACAGACATGTTTTTGCCTACGACCGTTGGATTCAATAATAGGCTGTCTATTTTTCTATTCAGAAGTCCGAAATCTTCTTTTCCAATTGAAAAAACAAATACATGTTTTTTTTTTTTTTAAGTTTATAATTTCATTGATGGTATATGAATGATGAACTAATAAAATTTTGTCATGTTGAGTAACATATAAATTTTCAATATCTTGTATGATAATGTATTTTATAATTTATTTACCTTTTGAATAAAAATGAATTTTGATTTTTTTAAATTATTTTAAAAATATACAATCTTTTAAATTATTTTTGAAGTAAAAAAATTTATTACTAATTTTTTATAGATTTGACAATTTGTATATTTTTTATATTTATTTTATGTTAAATACATGTAAAATACATATTAGATATAAAATATAATTTTTGAAAACTCGAAATTTAACTTAATTGATTTATGTAATTAACCGTAAGAAATTGCATCCAGCATGTTTATAATTAGAATCTCTACATCAACAACTCTTTCTCTTATCTTCAAGTTACATTGTTTTATATACTTAAATTATATATTGTTGAAATTTTAAATTATGTTATTTTTATAAACTTTTTTGTTGATTTGGTTTTGTCAAGTTTAATTTTTTTTAAAAAAAAAAAATCTTATTATAGACCAAAAAGGATTAAATGGATTATAAAGTAAAACCAAAATAAGATAAAAGGACTTAAAAAGCGGCCCAAAAACGCTAATAAATGTGTTTCTTTGCATCGGTTGCTTGGCCACGCAGCGCAAGCGAATTCCCCCTAGCCTATAGGCTATATCCCCCAATTTTGACAAAGCACAGCCTTTTTTTCGGCCAACAAGCACACGCTAATGTATGCCAATTTTTCACTATCTTCACCAACTCCAAAACTGCGCCAAGCGCCATTCCGCCGCTTCCACAAAACTACTCCATGCCCATCTCATCAAACTTGGTCTAACCAATTGTATACCTTTGTCCAATTCTCTCTTAAATGTTTATACCAAATGCAACCTCCTTCAAGAAGCGCTCGAACTATTCGATGAAATGCCCCAAAGAGACCATGTTTCATGGGCTACGATTCTTACTGCTCAGAACCAAGCCAACATCTCCAACAAGACCCTCTCTATGTTCCCCTCCATGTTTTCACTTGACAGGTTGTTGCCTGATGATTTTGTTTTTGCTAGCCTTGTCAAGGCTTGTGGTAGCTTGGGGGCTATTAAAGAGGGTAAACAAGTTCATGGCAACTTTTTAGTGTCACCATATTTTGATGATGATGTTATTAAGTCATCTTTGGTTGATATGTATGCAAAATGTGGATTACCTGATGATGGTCGAGCAGTTTTCGATTCCATTAAGTTTAAAAATATGGCTTCTTGGACTGCTATGATGCATGGTTATGCTAGAAAAGGGAGAAAAAAAGAGGCTTTGGAGTTGTTTTTGAGGGTTCCTCTGAAAAATTTGTATGCTTGGACTGCCGTGATATCTGGTTTTGTACAGAGTGGAAATGGGATTGATGCATTTGGTTTGTTTATTGAGATGAGAAGGGAAGGGGTTAGCATAATTGACCCTCTTGTTCTTTCAAGCATAGTTGGTGCTTCTGCTAATTTGGCAATGTTGGAACTAGGAAAGCAGGTTCATGGACTTGTTATAGGGCTTGGGTACGAATCTTGCACGTTCATAAGCAATGCTCTTGTGGATATGTATGCAAAATGTAGTGATATATTGGCAGCAAGAGATGTTTTTAGTAGGATGTCACGAAGAGATGTTGTTTCTTGGACTTCGATAATAGTTGGGGCAGCTCAGCATGGACGGGCTGAGGAAGCATTGTCCTTGTATGATAAGATGGTTTCGAATGGAGTAAAGCCGAATGAAGTAACCTTTGTTGGATTGATTTATGCCTGTAGCCATGTTGGTTTAGTGAACAGAGGCCGTGAACTTTTCAAGTCTATGATTGAGGATTGTGGGATTAATCCTTCCTTGCAGCATTACACATGTTTGCTGGATCTTCTCGGTCGATCTGGATACCTTGATGAGGCTGAAAATATTATCAACTCAATGCCATTTAAGCCCGATGAACCTACATGGGCAGCATTGTTAAGTGCTTGTAAGCATTATGGAAATGCCAAAATGGCTATTAAGTTTGCTGATCATCTACTGAGCTTGAAACCTGAAGAACCTTCAACGTATATTCTGTTATCTAATATTTATGCTAGTTCTAGTTTGTGGGAACATGCTTCAAAAGCAAGGCACTTACTGGAAGCTTTGGAAGTTAGAAAGGAACCGGGATATAGCTACATCGATTTTGGCAAAGAAAGCCAAGTGTTTTATGCTGGGGAAACATCTCATCCCATGAAGGATGAGATTTTTGGTTTGCTGAAGGGGTTGGATGTGGAGATGAGAAGAAGAGGTTATGTTCCTGATACCAGCTGTGTTCTGCTTAACATGGAACACCAGGAGAAGGAGAGGCAACTGTTTTGGCATAGTGAGAGGTTGGCTGTGGCGTATGGGCTTCTTAAATCTGTTCCAGGAATGGTCATACGGATAGTGAAGAATCTTCGTGTATGTGGAGATTGTCATACAGTCTTAAAATTCATTAGTGACATAGTGAAGAGAGAAATTGTTGTCCGAGATGCCAAACGATATCACCATTTTAAAGATGGGAAATGTTCATGCAATGACTTTTGGTGAATTCATGTTTTTTGTTTTGAATTCCATTCTTTCCTCCATCCTCATATCGTTACATAATTAAATTCTCATTTCATTTAACGTTGTTTTTGAGGAGAGGTTAAGAAGAGAATGGCATACAAAAAAGTTTTCCTTTCGCTAAAAAAACCCTATAAACTATATCATTTTTCTTAAATAAACCTATATGCTTTTATTGTATCCAAATAAATTCTTATTTCAAATTGAAGAATGATACCCGAAAAATGATTTATGTTAAGGGAAAAATTAAAAGTTTAAGAGCCTATTTAGATATTAATTAAATGTTAAGGGTTTTTTTAGATGCAAATTAAAAATTAAAGATTTATTTAAATGTAATAAGGTTGTACATAAAATTATAATAGAATAAGATAAAATGATATCATGAATAAGATAAATTAAATAATGTCATTTTATCTTATGTTTGATATATGTAAAGATTAAGATAAGAAAATTTTTTTATTGGTCAAATTATCTTTCCTCAAAATTCATGTAATTTAAATTATTGATATAATTTTTAAGGATAAAATAGGGTATGTAAGCTTAATCTCATTGATTAAAAATAATCTTACCAAGAGGATATAATCTTCCTTGCAATCCTATCTCTTTCAATTAGATACAAACAAAACATAATATAAAATAATTATCATACTATCTTATCAATCATCATATGCACTAAACATGATCTAAGAGTATAAAGACTTATTTAAGTAAAGTTGTAAAGTTTAAAGGTTTTTAATTGTCTATATTCACTTAATAATTAAATTATTATTTTTAATATATATTTGCTTCTTATTAGTTCTTAATAAGAGATAAAACAACAAACAATAATAATTTTTTCTTTAACTAAATAAGGTAATTCTATGGATGATATTACTAGGGCTGGCAATAGGTCGAGTCATGACGGGTTTTTGCTCGTCTCAAATCCGATTCAATTTTATAATCATCAAAATTCGTATCCGATCTGACTCAAATTTTTTTATTTTTTAATACCCGAACTCAATCTAAAATCCGATATTGTATAAATCGTATCCAATCCGACTCGACTCGAAATTAATAAAATATTATTTTTTAAATATAAATATATAATTATATATAAATAAAAAATTAAAAAATAAATTTTAATATAATATCGGATCGAATTTACCTAAAACCCAAACTCAATTCGACCTCGATTTTTTTTTAGTAATACCCGACTCGATCCGACCCGAAATTCGATTTAAAAAAAAAATTAATCTTATGAGATTAGGTCGAGTCGAAATTCACCGAACTCACATGAGACCGTCAACTCTAGATATTACACATAGCTCTATCTTATTTAAGATCATATCTTTACCAATTTCTTTAGAATTAAAATTATTTTTAAACAATTATATATATATATATATATATATTCTCTTTAAGTTTTCCTCTTCTTATGGTCACTTTTATTAAATAATTATTTCTTAAAAAAATCACCTTAAACATATTTCATTTTTTTTTCTCAAATAAATATGATTAGATATGTTCACAAGCCGAACTGTATAAATAAATTATGGAATCTAACTCTAGATCAAATTTTATTATATTAATAAAATTATTTATTTAATTTTATTACTAAAATGAAATAAAAATAAAGCATGTGTAGAAGAAAAATGTAAAGCATGACGAAATTATCACAAAGCTACAATTGTAACGAATTTCTCTTATTTAATTCTCAAGGAACGTCATGTGATTTTCATCCCATTCAAAAAATATATATATATATTGTTTTGATAACCCCAATAACTTAAAATATGAAATAAACATAAATAATATCATTTGACTTAATTGTGGTATTTTTCTTTAATTTTCGTTTTAGTATTATAATTTTGTATCAGATTTGGCAATCTCACATCTTCATCTGTTTTATTTAAATAAATGTTATAGTATCTTGTACATACAAATTTCCTGCAAAATTTAGAGTCAATTAATAATTTTAATTTATCAAAAAAATATAATACAATATCTAAAAATTCTTAAATAAAAAATTCTTTAATTCTTTAAAATTCGCTAGAATTTAATCATGAATTAAATAAATTTAAGGGTTTTGAGCTCAAAATTTAGAGATTATTGGAATTTGGTCTATTCTTAAAAAATTTGAAATTTAATGATAAATGTAGAGATTATTGAAATTTGGTCCCAAATTTTTTATATAGTATTTGGTATTATTTTCAAGATTAAGAATTTAATTACTTAAGTGATCTTATTAATAGGATAATCTTATCATTCGTGATTTTAAATTATTTTGTTTGATTAATAATTATTAATTCTTATAATTAAAAATCACTATATTTTATATTACTAAAAATCAAATATTATTTTGTTTGAAAGTAACAAAATAATTATGCATATTATAATACCTAATAAGTTAATGATTTTAATGTTATTTAAAGATAATAATTTATATATAAAATATTAATAATAATTATTTAGTTCATAATAAATATAATTAAATTATTAAATTAAAAATATAATTATTGATAGTAGACTAATTTTTATAGTATAAATCATGTAAAAAATATTAAATTAGAAAAGAAAACTAATATATTAAAATTAAAAAGTATGGTATAAATAAATTTAAAAAAATAAAAAAACATACAAAATATTTTTGAACTTATTACAATGAATATTAGTTTACAAATATAAAAATTATAATATAAAATAATAACAGTTAATTTTAAGAAGAATTAAATATTTATTATTAATTTTATATGTCACTTCATCTTAATAATAAAAATTTTCTACTTCTTTAGATGAAAACTAGATCATCATTTAAGACAATAATCTAATTACTTTTAATGGTTTAAGATCATTGTCATGAAAAATTATTAAGTGATTATCAAATACAATGATCTAATTATCATATATAAATCACCATAATTTTTTAAATGATTATCTTATATGAAACATTATCTTAGAGACTTTAATTCTTCAAGATATTTTTATTTTCAATTATTTTTTTGGACTTGTTTCACCAAATTATCTTCATAGACTCTTCTTTATATTGTTTGAGCTCTTTATTTATAGTGCCAGGTAACGGTAGGAAAAAGAGTTTAGAGCTAAATTTTTTTAATTTTATTTTTAATTTATTTTAATTTAATTAAAGATAAAAGACGATGACTTTTAGGTAGAATTTAATTGAATGATGCATATATATTAAAATTTTGATCGGCTGAAATTTGAATTTATCTAAAAATAAAAATATGACTCAATAGAAATTTTCAATTGGATCAAGGGTCTTTGAAATTCGATTGGCCACCACCATCTGTCTAATCTTGGTTTGCATAATGACTTGATAAAATATTTGATGATATTTTTTTAAAAATAATTATATAAATTATTAAATGTAAATTTAAATTCTCCTTTTCTTCTTTTAATTAAATTATGGTTCAATCGAGCGAAGAATTATCATTATCATTTTTTTTCTTCAACACTTAATCCAAACACATACTAAATTACAAACTCCTTTTCATAAAAAAATAAAAGATGATTGGATTATGATCTTATCGCGACGGTTACAACTGTAACAGCTAATGTGGAGAAAATCACTTTGTAAGTAAAATATAATAAAAGTAATACTAAATACTTGGAAATATTATAACGAAATCACGGGACAGCCTAAGCAAATTGCTAGTGAACCAACAGGGTTTCCACTTCTGCATCCGATCAAGATTCCACGGGACAAACACAATGGCCATGTCAAATTGGAGACCGTCGATGAGACTAATCCTGACATGGATAAGGAAATAGGGAATCTCGATACATCGCACGTAGACACGTTGCATACAGACAAAACCCTGGCTATTTTCAGACAAAAGAACAGTAAGTTGATATCGGCATTAGCCAATTTTTGTCACTATAAATTACGGTGATTTTCCCAATGTTTTAGTCGGTCCTTGTTTGAAAGCTATTGTAAAATAAATTTGGTATTTGTAAGTAAAAGAAGAAGAGAAAACAAAGGAGATTTTGCCATGGCTGAAGAAACTGGATGTTGCAAGGCTGCAGGACCAGGATATGGGACTCCATTGGAAGCCATGTCTGGTCCTAGAGAAGCTCTAATTTATGTTACTTGTGTTTATACTGGTGCTTTCCTTTCCTTTCCTTCATTCATTCTTTTTTTTTTTCCGTTGATTGTGATTTTTATGATGTGTTAACTGCAAATTTCTGGGAAGTTTGAATCATTGTTTGATTATTTGATATGATCCATGTAGGCCTAGAATCATAGATTGCTATATATTCATATCTATTTTTAGAAAATTGTAGAGAAATTTCCATGGCTGGGTTTTTTTTTTTAATAAAAAAACGGCTTTCCTCACATTTTTCTACATTTCCAAATAAAGGAAAGAACCTTTTTTTTTTTTTTGTTCATACTTCTATCCGTTTTTACATCTTTCCCTTGCATATACATAAAGTTGGAAGATTTTTTATTTTTTCTTTTATTTTTTCTGTATTTTCCTATCAAATTTTTTTAATGCTAATTTTAAAACGGAAGTAATTACTTATGTCCATCTATGTGGTTATTTTGGGCTAGTTTTCGTAGTTTGGAAGTTGTAAAATGGTTCTGTATCTATGCAGGAACTGGAAGAGAGAAGCCTGATTTTCTGGCGACAGTTGATGTAGATCCAAACTCACCTACTTATTCTAAAGTTATACACAGGCTATCTGTGCCATATATAGGTGATGAACTGCATCACTCAGGGTGGAATGCATGCAGCTCTTGCCATGGAGATCCATCAGCAGAACGACGTTTTCTGATCCTGCCTTCATTGGTGTAAGCCACTATATTTTTTACTTTGGAATTTCATTTCCCTTTTGCTGCAACAAATAGCAATATTGTGGCGAGCTAAAGTAACTACAGAGGAGATAAGATATAAAATGTAGCAAACGAAGAACAGATAATACAATTGCAAAGGCTACCATTTAGGCTTCAGCAGAATATGTTTACGGTAACAAGTTACAACACTGCTAACATTAATCAGTTGGAGTTTGGCCTAATACAAGCTGCTCAAAGTTACTAGTTTTGGTTACCTTTTTCTCTTTATACCAAAAGTCAGTTGTTTGTTTCTACATATATCCTGAAGCTGATGGGCATTTCTACCTATATTAGATGCATCCTCATATATACCTCTTTGTAAGGTATAAATATTTGACTCAAATTTTCTTTAAGCTCTTTTCTTATGCCTGATCTACGTTATGATTATATATTATTCGTGTGTTTTGTAACTTTTTGTATGCTCATTTTTAATTTTCTGGTATTTTCTTGTAGGATTCTTTCCTTAATTGTTTGTCCAATAGCATTGTTGCTGATGCAAATTTGAATCTTAACTTGAGACAAATTTGTTTGAGTGCATGGTAGTCTATTTCCTACATCATCTATCCTCTATTAAGATAAACAACATGGTTTCGTTTGTACCATTAGCTATCGAGATAGCAAAATTTTTATGGTAGAGACATATTTTAACTGTTCCACTTCCAAGATGTTGTTAAGGTACCAAAATTGCATTACACTGTATTCTGCTTCTTTCAGATCTGGTCGTATCTATGTGATCGACACACAGAAGAATCCCAAGGCTCCCTTGTTGCATAAAGTGGTGCAGCCTGAGGATATCATTAAGAAGACAGGCCTAGCATATCCGCACACATCCCACTGCCTTGCCTCTGGAGATATAATGGTGTCTTGTCTTGGTGACAAAGATGGAAATGCAGAAGGAAATGGATTTCTTCTCCTTGATTCCGAATTTAATGTGAAAGGAAGGTAAAGTATAAACCCAAAAAAAAAAAAGGGGGGGGAAAATGATTGTGAATAATAGAAATAATTGTTAGCTGTGCTTTTTGGTGCATGATATTGTGAACAACTATCACTTGTGGTTGGACTTAGTTGCTATTGAATTCTTCAGGTGGGAGAAACCGGGGCATAGTCCTCTGTTTGGCTATGACTTTTGGTACCAACCTCGACATAAAACAATGATCAGCTCATCGTGGGGTGCTCCTGCAGCCTTCACCAAAGGTTTCAACCTTCAGCATGTTGCAGATGGTCTGTATGGGAGACATCTGTTTGTGTACAGCTGGCCTGATGGTGAATTGAAACAAACATTGGATCTTGGTGACACTGGTCTCATACCCTTAGAGGTGATTACATGTTAACATTATGAACATTTTGCAACTTCGTTTTTAGGACTAGATCTTGCTCAAAGATAATATGCTGTTCTGTTTCCTTTTCATTGTTATAATGATATGGTGAGACCTGGGATTCGCTGTATATGATCTTGTCATTTCTATGCAGATAAGATTCCTGCATGATCCCTCTAAAGATACAGGGTATGTTGCGTGTGGCTTGACAAGTAACATGGTACGGTTTTTCAAAACCCAAGATGGATCATGGAGCCATGAGGTGGGCACATAAAATAACTTTACTTTTTATGTTAGTGCATGACCTTGTATAACTTTGCAGTTTCATATGTGTTTATTTACTGTTGTTGTATTATCATTGTTAATAAAATTTGCATGTCTTTTTCCACAAGCCTAATAATATCCTTATCAACTTCTGCAGGTAGCAATCTCAGTGAAACCATTGAAGGTGCAAAACTGGATTCTTCCAGAAATGCCTGGACTTATAACGGACTTTCTAATCTCTCTTGATGATCGTTTTCTGTATTTTGCCAACTGGCTTCATGGAGATGTCCGACAATATAACATTGAGGACCCTAAAAATCCAGTCTTGGCTGGCCAAGTATGGGTTGGAGGGCTGCTTCAAAACGGTAGCCCTGTAATGGCTGTGACAGAGGATGGTAAAACGTGGCAATCCAATGTTCCTGAGATCCAGGTCTGTTCTGATATTCATATTACTTATTAACAAGAAGTATGACCAGTGGTGCTAGAGATAAACTTCTTATGTTCTTTACAGGGACGTCGTCTGAGAGGGGGACCCCAGATGATCCAGTTGAGCTTAGATGGGAAGCGGCTATATGTCACCAACTCGCTATTCAGCACATGGGATCGTCAATTCTATCCTGAACTTCTAGAGAAGGGTTCCCACATGCTACAGATTGATGTTGACACTGAGATAGGTGGTCTTAAAATAAACCCAAACTTTTTTGTTGACTTTGGAGCTGAACCTGATGGTCCTTCCCTGGCCCATGAGATGAGATATCCAGGTGGTGACTGCACTTCAGATATTTGGATTTAAGCATCTGAACCAATTTAGCTGTGATGAATCATCCTTTAACGTAATAGGACCAATAATAATAATCAATGCAATTTTTAGATTTCAGTGAGAACGTTGTTGAGGCAGGTTCATCTTGGATGAGATAATGTAATATCATCACATCAATGTGAAACAATAAACAGCTGAAAGTAGTCAATAAAGAGTCCAAATTGCATTAATTACTTCATGCCAGTGGCATTTTCAAGGGAACATGATTTGTGAAAGTAATCATCACATTAATTGCTTTTCTATTGCTCTTAGAGTGCATGGTATCTGTGCTTACAGGTTTGTAACTTCCAGAAGAACAGAGTACTACTTTTCTGATTTCTAGATCAGTAGTTGCTCAGGTTGCTGTGGTTCGATTATATATGATAAAATGTAATTTTGCTAGGTAGATTTGGTTTGTCTATATGTGGTTCAGTACAGCCTTCTTGCTTTCACTTGGTTTGATCCCAAGATCAGATAATCTACAATTCTTTTTCCTAGTGATCTAAGAACCATAAAAGGCTGTCTCTAGGAATGAACCATGCATTGTCCTGAAGAAAACAGATCGTGTTTTCTTGATTTGCCTGAAGACAAAAGATAATAACAGAAGAACAAGTACCTGCCCCACCACTAACAAAAGGCTGTCTCCAGGAATGAACCATTTTCCTGTCATAGCAATTCCATTGCCCATGAAGGAAAATGAGATCTCTTATCAGGAGAGGAACAGCATTCTCCTCTGAAGAATCACTTCTTTGCTGATCTCCCACTTTCTTCAAACCTACCCAATTTCGACACCAAATGTTATATTGTGTAAAGGAAAGGAAACAAGACCCCCAAGCAAAATATTAAGTTCCCTCTTGCAAGGTCCTCGCCATTGCTCTAGCTGCCTGTAGTAAGAAGAGCTGCCTGCCACGATCAAGAAATGGTTCCAATAAGGCTGCCAAATGATTTTTCCATTTCCAGGCAATTAGAGATGATTAAGAAGCAGCAAGGTACTGATACAAAAGCTACACCCAATGTTAAATGGTATGTGAGGAAAAGCTGACAGATGAGAATCAGTGCGTGCACATAGCAAACCATGGCTAAAAGCAAGGAAAGCTCTGTTGCATGGAGAGTTGGCCATGGTTTTGTCATCTTTGGCATGCAAAATGAACAATTAATCTGATGGAAAGAACTAAAAAAATGAAGATAATGAGGGCTTTGTTTGTGCTTCAAATTCAGATCATGAGGACGTATCTCGGATGAATTCATTTACCAGCATATTTTCAGACAACAGGAAGGTGTGAACACGTTGGATAAGGATTAAGATCACTTGACATGCAAAAGCTGTATGGTAAACATTGAATGCCGAATTTATTTAACTTTTACGGGGAAAACTTACGGTATAATTCATCCATCTATCTTCTATATAAGTTTTGTAAATATACGGCAGTACTGTACCTACAACATGTCACTCTCCTGTTTTTTGGTTTTTTATTTATTATTAAATTATTTTTAAGTGGGACCCCTCATTTTTGTGTGGGACCCACTTCCCCAACTTTTTTTCGTTTTCCTTTTTTTAATTATTAAATTAATTTATTTTTTCAAGTAAGTCCCCCTAACTTTTTGTAGAGAACTTTTTTTACATTTTATATTTAATTTTGACTTTTTAAAGATACAATATTATTAAATTAATTTTATTGTTTTCAAGTCCAGCATATTACTTTTTTTGTGGAAGCCGCTTTTCTCCTTGATTTAAATTTTTAATATTTTAATATTTTTTCCAATTTTTTAAATATATAATATAATAAATTTATTTTTTTGAATTTATTATTTTTGAATGGTGAGACCATTTTTTAATAAGATTTTTAATCATTTTATTTTTATATTTTATATTTTTTATATCTAATATATTATTGTTATAGATCGGTTAATATTGTGGAGGCTAAGTGTAGGCTTTTTAGCTTTTTTTCCTTTTTTTTGTATTTTTATTATATTTAATTATAAAATATTTAAACAATGGGGTTATTTTTTTTATTTTTTATTATATGTTTCATTATAAAAACAAATTCAGTGGACTCGCAGCTTTATTGTGGGTCTCACTTGTTGGATTTTTTATTTTTATATATTTTATTTAAAAAGCTTTTTTAATAGGGCCCACACTTTTTTTCTCAATTCTTAACTTTTGATTCTTTTTATATTTTATATATACTTTTTGCTATTTTGATATTTTATTATAAATATATTATTTTTAAGTGGGATCCATTATTTTTTGTGGCGCCCATTTTTATTTTTTTAGCATCCACTTTTTGTTTTGTATTTTTTTCAATTTTTTTATTTTTTAATGATTTAAGATTTTTTTAACTGTGTGCTCTAATTTTTTATTTGTACGTGGGATTTGCTTTTTTTTTTTTAGCGTTCATTTATTTTTTGAAATGTTTAATATATAATTTTTTTAACCACTTAATACCAAATTTTTTCTTTTTTAAAAAAATTTAATTGATGTTATATATATTTTTAGATCATTTGATATTAAAAATATGTTACATTTTTTTTATTTTTTTATTTTTATATATTTAATAAATAATTTTAAAATTTTATTTTTTTAGTAACTCGCTTTATATTAGAAGTACGTCATGCAATGGAATCCACTTATTTTTTGAGTTTTTTTTTAAATTATTTTAATGATTCATAATTTTTTTAACGTTTGATCTGATTTTTTATTATATTTCCTGTGGGATCATTTTTTCTTTGTTTTTTCTAAATCTTTTTATGCTGTGCTTTTTCTTTTCTTTCAATATCTAATATATACTTTTAGAGATCACTTGATATCAATTTTTTTCTTATTTTTTTAGAAAAGCTTAATCAAATCTTTTAGAATTTTTTGTTAATTCACTTAATATCAAAGGTATGTTGTGTGTTTTTTTTTCAGTTTTAAATATTTTCTCCTTTTTTATTTTTTATATATTTAATAAATAATTTTTAGATTTATTTTTAATAACTCAATTTTTTATAAAACAAAATTACGGTAAATATATATATGGCAAAACAAAAAAAAAATTACCCACAATCAAACAAAGCAATTCAAAATATCATATGATAACACGATATAAAAATAAGATGAAAAAATATATAAAAATGATAGGTTAAAATTTTAGCAAAGACATACATATGTTTAATTAAAACAAAAAATATATTTTATATTTTTTATATCAATACAAATTTTAACATAAATTTTATATAAAACATAATATTAATACAAATATTTTATTATTTTATATAAAACAAATATATAAATTATCATATCTATTTACGATACATGCTAACATCATTCTAGTAATATTAAAGTTGCTCTATACAATGAATAAAAGTTCATCCTTAAAGTGCCACATGATACTTTTTTCTTTTCCTTGTTTATTTTATTTTTTATTTTAATTTTTTTAAAATTATTTAATTAATACTTTTTAAAATTTTCTTTTAAAGTGAAACCTTTTTTATACCAAGTTTTTTTCTTTTCATTTTCTTGTTCCTTTCTTTCAAAAAATATAATCATTCTTTTAGATTTTAATTTTTTGTATAAGATTCATTTGATGTTAAGTATACGTCGTGGGTTTGCTTTTTTTTATTACTTTTATTTGTTATATATTTAATAAATATTTTAAAGATTTTAAATTCTTTCTTTAACCACTTGATACTAAGAATATTTCATGTGTCAAGTTATTTGTTTTCTTTTTTGCTTTTCTTTTTTTTTATTAATATATTTTTAAAAATTTTAATTTTTTTTGTATAGGACCCACTTGTTACCAATGATACACCATGTATTTTTTTCTTTTATTATTTCCCTTTTTTATATATTTAATAAATATTTTTAAGATTTTAAATTATTTTTTGTTTGATCCAATTGATACCAAAAACATACTACGTGTCAAGCTATCTATTTTTTTTCTTTTTTTTTCCTTTATAAATATTTAATAAATTTTTAAAATATTTTAACATTTTTAAAAGTATGGAGTCCATTTTAATATTATTGACTAGAAAAATTTTTTCGTCTTTGAATTTGATTTTTTTTAAAAAAATTATAAATGTGTCAACCAAACATGTTCATGGGTCGGATGATCCGTTCAAACCTGAAAAACCCATCTAAAATTTTGAAAGGCTTGAATATAAATATAAGCTCGTTAAATGGGCCTGAACAAATAAATAAAGTCGAATAAAAAAATAAGGCGGAGCTTGGGTTTCACCATTTAAGACCCAAGCCCGGCTCGACCTAACCCAAAAATTAAAAAAAAAAATTATCATAATGAGAAAGTCCATTTACTTTATCTTTTATAATAGACAAGACCCATTGCTTTATTAGTTATAATATGATAAAGCTCATTTTTTTATAAAAAATAATAATTTAATTTTAAATTATATTTAACAAAATTACAGTGGACCCAAGCCCAAATAATTCACAAATTTAATTAAAATTAATTAAATTAATAATTTACAAAAAATAAAAAAAAATCATTTTCTTCAATTTTAAATACCAGTGCTTTTGGTGAGTTTAAATTTTATAATAGAAACAAATTTGGGCAAAAAATGAGACTCAAAAAATTGAGCCGAGCCGGGCTTAAGCATATTTAAAATGCTGGAATATCATCAAGGCTCAGCTTGAACCTGACTCAGCTCAGCCCATGAGTAGGTTTAGTGTTGACATCATATCCAGATTTAATATTTTCAGTCCTTTATTATTTTGTTTTTTCATTTTTTTTTAAATCCATGATATAAAGTTTACAAAAAAAAAAGAGAAAAAAAAACTTCATTATATATATATGTGTGTGTGTGTGTTATATGAATAAAATTGTTATTTAATACCTTAATTTAATAAATCCACATGCTATTCTCATTTGTTTTCATTTTTCCTTTTTTTAACCATTTCTTTTGTTTTATTTTTTTTTAGTTTTTAACTTATTTAAATTAAACAAAATTTGCAAGGAAAAAAGTCAATGGATCTATAAATAACAAAACAACTCCTATTTTATGGGTTTCAATTTGTTTTGGACTAATGTACGAGGTTTTTTTAACATTTTAAGATTAAGTCAAAGTTTTTTCATTTTTAAATCGAGGTTCAGTCGAAGGCGATTTTAGAATTTTTTATTATATCTTGAGTATATATATGATTATTTTTAATTGTTTATTTTATTTTGTATTTATATATATTATATTAATTATTTATTATTTAATATCTTACTTTAATATATACACTATATTTATAAATAATTAAGATATAATCTATTTATCCGTTATATAAATTCTACTCATTTTGATTTTGTTTTATTCTCATTCAAAGTGTCAACATGATGCATTATGTTTGTTTCTTTTTTTTCTTTTTTTCAATTATT